TTTTTAAAAAATTTAACCAAAACCAAACCGAAATTATTTGGTTAATATAAAAATTGAAACAGTAAAAACCAAAAATCGTTTAAATTGAATCGAATTCATTTTTCGGTTCGGTTTTTGGGTAATCCATCGGTTTCGGTTTCAAATGCCCAGGGCTAGTCTCCTAACACAGGTGACGTGGCCCACTGGGCCCACACGCTTTCTCTGATACACACAATGAATGCATGAGTTTGATCCCACGGAGCCTCCGTTAGTGATTAGAGAAGAAAAATGATATTTGTATAATATTTTATTTTATTTTTTAAATAATTTTTTATATAATTTTATATGTTATTAAAATAATTAATTATTTTAATTTATATAAAATTTATGATATTGATTGATTCATTTATTTAATGATATACAAAAATTATATAAAAATAATATAAAAAAATTATTTGTATAATACCATACATTAGAGGATACACACGTGACCCTCTGGTCCACATGCTTTGCCGTACACACCAAAAAAAAGCATGAGTATCATACGTGGCCTCCATACGCAGGGACCACGTCTGGCGCATCTGGGCGTACTTAATTCTGGTGGCTAAGTTTTAGAAAGAAAAATAAGAGAATTTTGGTAGGCAAAAAAATATCCCATACCTGTTTCAGGTGACCCCCACACCCACACAGCATCCTTTACCTTTCTCTCCTGTTTTTGTTGTCCAATTTATTCAAATCACCTAATACTATTCTTATAATTTACTCTCTCTCTTGCACCGGCCCTTCGGCCCAAGTGGCAATAGCCACTCTATGATGCACTCCCCCCTCTTCTGGGTTGGGTTCGACCTAACCCCGTGTAAAACCTGTTCAAAAAAAAAAAATTTACTCTCTCTCTTTTTCTTTTTTTTCTTTCTGGTTATAATGTACTATTTTTCGGTGATTTGTCAACAATTCTTTCACGTATCCCAACTTTTAACACAACTAGCGGTGGGCATTCGGGTGGGTAACCCTCGATTACCCAGAAAGCAAATAAAAAAAATGAATTTGGTTTAATTTTAATGGTTTTAAGTTTTACTGTTTTGGTTTTGATATTAACCAAATAAATTTTGGTTTTGATATTAACTAAATAAATTTCGTTGAATCTTTTACAAATCGAAAATAAAAAATGAGTCTTTTGAAAATTAAAATTTTGATAAATATGATAAAATATGAGATAAAATATAATTTATTATTAAAAAAATTTGATTAATATTTATTTAGTAAAAATTAAAACTGAACCGATTTTATTGATAATCAAACCAATCAATTTGTAAAAACTTTGGTTTGATTTCGGTTCTTAAAATTGAAGAGAACAATTTTCGATTATTTTGAAACTAGTTTTGCCCACCCCTAAACACAACATTTAAGAGGTACTTGCACTTGGATTAAAAAAATTAATTGGTTATAAATTTTGGAAAAAAAAAGTGTAATTTTTAAATGTTAGTTTTAAATCTCCCTTCCTCAAATTTGTACCTAATTTAAAAAAAAAAAAATTAAGAGGGACTTGCCAAATTTCTTAGGCAACAAGTAAAGCTTTACCCCACATCCTCAAGTATAACTCTTCAAAAATTAATTATTAGAATTACCTACCCCTTTACAAAATATCCATAGAATCAGATGAATAAAATATCTAAATATCTATATTATTAAAATCTCATTTTCAAATTACTTAGAAATACTAGTAAATCATTGTGAAATTTCAAGTTGTTGAGAATTGTTGCTATCTATTTAGTTTCTTAATAGTGTGTACCTTTGATTACGTTAGAGATATAGAAATTAAAGATAGTTGTTTAAGATTTATCTTATTAATATGTGTTATCACATCAAGTTTCTCTTATTAAATTTGTTGGGGTCCCTTCTTTGTTGGATTTTCATCTCGTTCTGATAGAAATTGTTAATGTCTCACCAGAATGTTTTACAAGCATTAATCAAAAAGTCTCATTTTTCCTCCCAAAGGTCTTGTATTTTTCCTTTCTTTTTCCTTTGGGCCACGAAACAATAAAGAAGCCCAACACCTCCTGCGCCTTCGTCCATGCCCAAACTCTTATCAAGAACGAAGGGTCCAAATCAGCGTGTAAGATCGAGAGATAAGTGTGGGCCACAAAACTGTCCAGAGATGGTAAGATGACAATAATGCTGAGCTGGATCAAGAGTGGGGACCAGCCATCGAGGGACCATGGGTTAGGCTGAGGAATGTTATTGAGATAATTATTTTATTTTAATGTTTTATATAACTTAATATATTATTAAAATAATTAATTTTTTAATTTATATAAAATTTATAATATTAAATATATCTACTCATTTAATGACATATAAAAATTGTATAAAAAAATAAAATAAAAAAATTATCCTTATAATACCATCATCTAAAATAGTTTTACACTTTGCATTGGGAGAGGCCGTTGAGCTGGGCATTACGTGTACGGACACGATTGATTAATGCATGAGGTGGAAAGAGGAGAGAATAACTAGGAAGATCTCGTGCATTTTTAATGAATCTTCATAGTTTTGGAGTTTTGTGCTGCGCATCTTTTTCTTTGCGCTGATCCGTGCAGGACACTGTTATGTGTGTGGCTGCTTGTCCCCGACCTCTCATTGCTTCAAAAGAGCAAAAAGAACGGACCCAGTCTGCTCTAAGGACGAACAAACAGATTCGCATACACCACGAGTCAAATTTCGTGAAACGATTACCGCCACCGTAAGTTTTGTTTTTATTCAGACTATTAAAATTTATCAAATTTTTATTTTAATTTAATTATTAAAAATAATGAATAATTATTCAGGTAGGAACACTGAATAATAATGAATAATTATTAAATCTCATTTCGTCAAACGAGTATTGATGCATGTCTTATTCAGGTAAAAAAATGTTAATAAAAACTACATTAACATTGCATTGTTATCCAGTCATGGGCAGCCCCCATTCTCTCCTTCTCAAGAAAACTGAAAAGACTGATATTTGCAAGGTGACTCAAATATCATGTTTGCCCAGATATAGTGGATTTTATTACAAATCTTGTATTTAATTTAAAACCAATTATTAATAAATAGAACAATTTTTTTATATTTAAATTACATACTTATTTATTATGCACTCAATGTGAGATTTTTTTATTTAATATAAGTCATTTCATGTATAGATTCATTATAAATATCAAATTCTATCATGTGACTTAACATGCTCTGTTACATATTATTAATTTGGTATTAATTTCAAGTGTTGTCAAGTGAATTAATAATAGGCTAACAATGAATTTCTCAAGATAAAATTTGAACTTTAATATCATGTGAAAATTTTACATGTAAAGTTTAAGAAAAAAGTTTACATCTAAATAAAAAGCACTTGACAATAAATTAATTAATTTATATTCGTTGCGTTTGTTCTGTTGATTGGGGAGGTGATCTGGTGGACTGTATAAATGCTCGTACATAGCAAATGAGCGAGGGGGCCCAGGATTTTAAATACAAGAGGGAAAACACATACAAAAGTGAGAGACTGGTGGGTTGCTGTCCCAGTGCATCAATTGGGACCTGTAAAGATGCAGCTAACAAAGATTTCAGTTATAGCTGTCTCTCCCCCAATCCTCAAAAGCTCTGTTCTCAACCAAAAATATTTTTTTCAATTATTATCGTTGTAAAAAGCCTGGAATAATTAACAGGCTTCCTAATTATCTCAAATCTACTCGAAAGGGATATATATCTGCTTCTCAACTACATATACAGACAGAGGACCTCAACTGCATGCATGCATGAAATAATGGAATTTATTCCACTCATTTTAAATATTGTTAAGCAATTTTGGACAAATTCCTAGTAATATTTAAAAGGTTTTTTTTTTTAAAAAAAAAAAAAAGTGAGAAAAGGATATTGTGGGTAAATAGAGAATTTGGCCTTAAAAATGTTATTGATACTTAAAAGTTAAAACCTTCTCCTACTACAATTATATATTTGTGGTCAATTTTTTGTACTTAGGGAGCTTAAAATCCAGAATATGATATACCCAAAGATCATCCACTAAATTTCACCGACATATCGACAAGCTCCCAAGAGGGGACCCAAAGATTTCCATGCCTTCTTTGGTGCTACCATTGGATTTTCAGCTTTACCGAGAGAAGTAGGAACTAATGGCCAAAAAATTAGAGAAGTAGGAACCAGCTAGGAACCATCCTCTCAAGCATTATCATTGCCGTTTTTGTACTATATATATTTAATATATAACCTGATTTCCAACTATATATATATATGGCCTAATCAGATTTATATATATATATATATATATTTTTTTTTTTGCGCCTAAAGCTAAAAGACAAATTTGAATTAAGACTAATTTAAAGGATAAATAACTAAATAATGTGGAGCATTTAAATAAAGTGGTAAAAGAAGAAAAGAGATTATAATGTACTACTACTTATAAGGTGGAGTAATATTAAAAAAAAAAAAAAAAGATTCGGAGAAAAATATCTTTTTTCCGATACCGCCATAACTGAATTCCCGTGCCTTCCACATTCCAACCTCTCCACGTGTTCCATTGAAACTTTATCAGATTCTTCTTCTCTGCTCCGATGTCATTTCAAATTCTATATATTTATGTTCTCCCTGAAACTTACTGAGAAACAGGTGTTAAAATAGTTTTATTTTTAATTTAAATTTAATGTGATTTAATTTTAAATTAATTAAAATTTAATGTAGTTATTGAATATCGAAATATTAATATATATAAAAAAAACAGTCTACTTTTTCTTTTCTGCATTTCATTTTTTTCCCATATATAAATATAAATTTCAAAGAGCAACTTATTTGTGTAGCATGAAAATATATAGTCCATTGCACGAATTAAATACTGTTAAGTGAGAAAATCTCACATCGAGTATAAAAGTAAGAAACTTGTGGGTTAAATACAAAGAAGGCTACTCCACCTATTGCCAATTGATTTTAGGTTGGATGCAAGCTTTCTGTTGAACCCACATGCACAGTTTTTAATATGGTATAAGAGCCCAAGTTCTGCCTTAGGAAGCCCGTATTAGCCCATTTGACAGGACTCGAAGTTATTATCGGACCTCTATTTAAAAGAGGCGTAACCCACGTGACAGAATGTTAAGTGAGAAAATCTCACATCGAGTATAAAAGAAAGAAACTTGTGGGTTAAATACAAAGAAGGCTACTTCACCTATTGCCAATTGATTTTAGGTTGGATGCAAGTTTTGTGTTGAACCCACATGCACAGTTTTTAATATGGTATAAGAGCCCAAGTTCTGCCTTAGGAAGCCCGTATTAGCTCATTTGACAGGACTCGAAGTTATTATCGGGCCTCTATTTAAAAGAGGCGTAACCCACGTGACAGAATGTTAAGTGGGAAAATCTCACATCGAGTATAAATTAAATACAAAGAAGGCTACTCCATTTATTGCAACAGTTTTCAATAAATACAATATACATTATTGGTCTGATAAATGTACAATAGCAGGAAAGAATGTTGAATCTGTTACCCTTTTATTTATACCACACTATTACACTAATGCCAAAACTAATATACAATTAAGAGTTTAGCCAAATTTGTATTTATTAGTTTAAAATTTTTTAAAAAAATTTATTTGAGGTTAGGTTTAAAATTTTAAATTTATGTGAAACCAAACAGTTAATCATATAGAGTACCATAAAAAATAAAAGAGACTATTATCAAAGTAATTGCAACTTTAAATATGGATGACTTTTTTGACCCAATGGCAAAAAATGAGGCTCCACAACTTGCAGCAATGGTGGAACCACATTGTTAAATGGTTAGCTATAGGCTTTACTATATATTTAAAAATTTTAAAAATAAAAATTCCACGTTAAAATCTTAGGAAAAAATTTAATGTTAAAAGACATAGCATTGTTTATTTTTTTTAATTAAGACAAAAAAAAAAGGTTAAAACTTAAATTTGGAGAGATAGAAAGGACTAAAGAACCAAAAAATAGTTAAAACTCAAATTTGAAAAAATAAAAGACTCTACCATTAATTGATTTACCACTAACTTGTGAGTTTAAGTTTTCCTTGTGAATTTTTCCTGATTTAATATACTATTGTGATATCTTTATATTGTCCACATTTATGTACTATTCTACGTGTTTTTTCTTTTATTAAAAAAAAGAAAAAAAAAAAAAAAGAGAGAGAGAGAGAGATCTCAAATCTTACAAACGAGGCTTTTTCATTAGTTCAGTCACGTGTATTCACACGTGCCGTTAACAAAAAACATATCAAACAAAAGGACAACGCACGGAACAGTTAGGCTGACTCGTCCGTCAACGTTACTGTGACGGAGATGTTTAAAATAAAATAAAATAAAATAAAAAAACTAAAAAACAGCCGATATTTTCAGTCCCCGCCGAACAAAACTTGCCGGAGAACCGGCATAACCCGACAAGTAGCCGATATAATCAAATGGTCACGAAAGGATCCAACGCAAACAGGTCACCGATATCTTGAAAATGGTCATCAGAATGCCAACTAGAGAACCCGAACCCGAACCCGAACCCGGAGTTCCCGCTTGAATCCAGAAAACCGCTGCAAAGGTCGTCTTTCAAAAACCAGTCTTGGAAGCCCGTTTCGTCGAAGCAACACGGAACGGAATTGAATATTTCGCTTGTGAACGGCGAGTAATCGAAGAAATCAGGAAAGTTAATGCTGGATTCTTCTTGGATTTCGTTGACAAAATCTCGCGATTCTTTAAAGCTTTGTGAATCGCCTTCGTCGGTTGACGGTGAGGGAGAGCGGAGGACGGAAGTGGGAGAGCAGAGGTTACCGTGAGAGCGAGAGTCGTCGCCAGAAATGCAATCAGAGGATAACGGTTTCTCGTTGTCTTTTTCTGCGAGCGACTTTTGCGGAGGATTGATGAAGTTGGTGAGCGCGTCAGGTCCACGCAACTGGATAGCCGCGTTATCATAGACAATCGCCGCTTCCTCGGCGGTGTCGTAGGTGCCCAACCAGAGCCGTACTCCCCTCGTAGGGTCCCTGATCTCGGCAGCCCATTTGCCCCATGGCCGTCGCCGTACTCCCCTGAACTTCTTCTCCACCGGAGCTTTGACACTCTCACCGCCCGGGGCTGACCTCTTTCGATTTCTTCTAGAAGAGGACCTTTTCCAAAACCCGTCCTTCTCGCCGTTGCAAGGAGATTCAATTGTTATCTCGTTAACGAACCTCCTGACTCTGTTTCTTCTGCAGGCATCGGTTTCTTCTTCGCTGGATGAGTCCGTAGCGTCTGCATCAGTGACTGAAATCCGAACAATTCTGGGCTTCCATTCCTTCTGATAGTCCATTCCAGCATTTGAAGTTGGTGTGACGAGCTTCGTGTGATGGCGGCGGTGTTCGGTGTATTTGACTGGACGTACAGCACAATGAATCATTTCTCGGGTTCTTTTTTCTAAGATTTCTGTTTGTGGGGGGCTTCGGATTCTAGTAATTGGCATTGAGAGCGAAGTGAGTGTGAGAAGAGCGTCTAAATAGAAATGGGTTGGGGAGTGAAATGGAAAGGGAAAAAGATGAAAAAAAAAAAGGGAGATTCCTTTGAGGCTAGACACGAGGAGAGAATAAAGATTAAAACGTCAAAGATAAGCTTAAAAAGGAAGAGAAATCCACCGTTAAAAACCCCCCCTTCTCTCAAAAAGCTAAAGGCACCGAAATTTCAAGGAAAGCGCCCCAGAAAAGGAGAGCAAAAGGGGTCGTTTATTAACAAAACCCCACCCAGACCCAGCACACAGCAGTATGCCGCGACCAAGAACCAGTGACTATGGAGAGAAAAGTGGAAACAAAGCCTGTATAGCTTTACCGGTAAAAGAGAAGGGAATAAATGTCCAAATCTCCACCAGAAAATGCTTTTCACGGTCACTCAAGAAAAGATTAGAACTTTCTATATCAAGCAATTACCAAAAACTCACTCAGATCCTTGCCCGGAAAAATTTTCAAAAGTGAAGAGAAAATTAAGAGAGCAAGAACTAATATGAAGGGTGAGGAGAAGCCTGAAAGAAAAGAGTCACGGAAAACAGAAAGCCAGAGTGTGGAGTGAGGCTGACACTGAAAATGGAGCTGTTTTATAGCGTCCCAAACAGCCGCAATCGGTTAAGTACCTATTTAGTGCCTGTTTGTTTTGGAGATTTTGAAAGAGTTGATAGTTATTGGGCTATGATTAGTTAAATATGGGTTTTTAAATAAAATTTTTTATTAACTGTTGGAAATTTTTTAATGGTTGTGTTTTTTAATAGTTATGGCAAATAGCTGTTAGATCTAAAAATATTTGAGAAATATTTGAGAAATATTTTTTATTTATTCAATTACTTATATATTTTTAAATTTAAACTTTTAAAATTCTTCTAACAAATTCTCATACTGTTTTCATTTATCTTCTTGGCACAAATAATATTAATTTAACTAATTTTGAATAAAAAAACTAATTTAATTAATATTAAATGTATCTTTAATAATAATTTAAAAAAACTAACAAACCTAAATAATTCAGTAGTAATTTCCTTCCATTAAAAATAAAAAATTTTGAATTTAAATCACATGGCATGTGAGTAAAGTGGGAGAGAGTTGCCTTCCATTATATAACTAATATAAAAAATAATACTAATAATAATTTAAAAAAATATATCAGTTTTAATTTTTTTAAAAATTAGAATCATAACTTTAAATTAGATCTTTTTATTTAATTAAAATTTAATTTAAAATTTAAAAATTTTATCTTATTAAATATTAATATTTAGATTTAGAAACAAATTAAAATTTTGAATTTTGAATTGAAATTTCAAAATTTAAGTATAAATTAAGACTTTAATTTTTTTTTAAAAGTCAAAATTGATATACATTACTATCAAAATGTAATACATTATTAGAAACAGCTAAGAATTTTATTACCAAACATTAATTACAAGCAACAATTGTTATTATTTATCAATTATTAACTATTAATCATCAATTATTAGTTATACTTGAATTTTAACCGTTAATCTAATCAAGTCCTTAATTTTAATGTTGATATTAAAATCATTCAATTT